CCTCCTGGGCACAGCCTGGCGCAAGCATGAGTCTGCCTGCACGCACGACAGCTGGGACGGACGGCGCTGTACCCCTTTGATCGGGTTGCCGCTTGCGCCACCGCCCAGCGACACCTCGTGACACGAGGCTGAAAGAAACCGAACGGGTTATGACAGGGTGGCAGACGAGGTCTCACCAGCTCTGACCAGCTCACCCGTTCTGAACGGCTGAACAAGAAAGTGCCATTTCTTGTTATATGAATACCGTGCTGGGTCACGGCCAAGATTTAGCAAAACACGGGTTCCATGGGACCCAGGGGGCGGCCTGCCTGGACACTCCGAGCTGAGATTAGCAGAAATCGTGGCTCCGCCATGTCCACACACAGCACAGACGGCACACCAGGGCCCATTGGCGAGCTTGAACGGATGCACCACATGCCGACACACTCCCGCCAGCGCAACTCTGACCGCAGCTGCATCAGCCTTGGCCAGAGCTCGAGGAATGCGAGTGGGAGGAGGGGGATCCACAACAACAACGGGACCACGAACCTTCGGAACTCGCAGGCGGGGTGGCACATGGAGAGAATCATGATCGGCTAGCAGAGAGCCAACTCGAGCACACCAGATTGCATAGTCCTTCAGTACTTGGGCCTTCCTCTTACGGGTGTCCCGAAGCTCCTGAGGGATGCGAACTCTATCGGCTGACCACTTCGCCCAGGAGTCGGCTTCATCGTTCCCAAGCTTGAGAAACATGAGCCGACTCCGCATGGCTGGAGAGGCCGACTCACTAACTACATTGGCGCGAGTGGTGTGGGCCCGCACGTTCACCAAGGTAAAAGCAGAAACCCCACCCCAGTCACGAATTCGAGCCCACACCATTCGCCACAGCTCGGCCCAGGCGCTTTTGCTGGAGCAGCAGGCCCGCTCTCCCCGAACCATGACCCCAGAATAAACAAAATCAGAAGCAGTGTAAAAACAGGTGCCAGGAGCGCCATGCTGGAGACCTCTCAACAACGCAGTGAGCTCCGCAGCATCTATATCTTTGACGATCTGGCTGAGAACGCCACACATCACTGAAAGCACCCTGTGACGACGACGACAGACGGAGACAATGGCCCATCCTGCCGTCTGCGCCTGGGCGGGCAGGTGCTGGTCCATCCAGCTGCCGTCCAAGAAGACGTGGCCACCCATCTCTGCGGGTCCACCCGAAAACCACCGATCTGGGACAGTGGAGGAGGCGGGGAGGGGCGCATCAGGCACAAGCAGCCTCTCGGCAAAGAGGCGAGGGAGAGGGTGGGCAGCAGCACGAGCAAGCGAGCTAAGATACACTGGAACCTGTGCGGCACCCATGCTCTGCTCATGTGCCGCACACGAGAGGTGTCTGTGCGCCAACGTGCACGGAGCACTCATGCACGCTCTACACTCGGCCGAGGTAGAGAGCCCACACTCCCATTGCCTGTGCTGAGGCCACTGACCTCCAGAGACAACTGACTTGATATAGCCACGCTCAAGTGGGAGAAGTGTGGAGCCATTCACAAGCGCCACAAGCGGGTTCATGTTACATCCTTGAATTAATTCTGGCACAGCCTCTCGCACCGAGACCTTGGCCCACAGCCAGAAATCAACCACACGCGTCAACCACATGGCAACCGAGCGAGGTCCAAAATCAAGCACCGATATCTCTCCAAGCACGGCATGCCGCCAAACAAAGCCTTGGATGACAAGACCGAGCCGAAGAGCGGTGGCGGCACAAGCAGAGAAGGGACCTGACGCTCGCCCATGGGTTGCCGCTGTGCTGCAGACGAAGAACAGCAGTGACCAGACCTTGCTCGAGCAGCCTATGCGGCAAGAGAGCGTCCCAAACAGCGGTGGCATACATACAAAGCGGGTCGATGTTGAGACGATAAGACGGGTCGCATTTTGGCGCCTCGGCTAGCATGAGCAACAGGGTTACGCTGCGGCCAGACAAGCTTTGTACTTGCACATGCGCCTGTAACGCACGGGCCACACGTAAATCCGAGTTATTTGTTCCATACACAGTGCCTCCGTACTTGAGAGAGGCAAGGCAGGCCGCCTGCACCATGTGATGCACACGACGCTTTTTTACTTCCTTCGAGAAACTCTGGAGCCTTCGAGCCCGCGCCACAGCAGGTCCCCTGCGGGCCCTTCGAGTCCCCCGAGGCATAGTGCGTGCAGCAGCAAAATCGATACCGAGGTTCCTTTCACTAGAGACCCCTTTAATATTAAACCTACGGGTTCGCTTCACAATCCGATCCCTGAGACCAGGGGACGACGCAACGACACGACCCTTCTCACGGTGAACGACCAAAGCCACACCTTTCAGCTCGGAGTGAAGCTTGCCCGTTGCTGCCACTAAATCTTTCTCAACGTCCTGATCGCGACCAATGCGCTGGAGGCCGAAATCGTCGACCACGACCCCCAGAGTGACATGGGGAAAGGCTTTGGCCACGATGTCGACAGGACCGATGAGAATTAATTGCAGCATCAGCGTTGCGAAATGGCAGCCAGGCAGGACGGCCTGCTGCGCCTCCAGAGGCGACGACACGGCATTGTTGTAGCTCAGCACTCGAGGCAACCGATAGAGCTCGACGAGAAGCTTTAACTGGCGGAGAGGAAACCCCGTGCGCTGCGCAGCAGCGACCAGCTGGGAATGTCGCACGTGCTCGAAAGCCTTCTGGAGGTCTAAAAGAACTAGGCCCGAGGCAAGCCGTCTCTCGGAGGCCCACTCGGCTCCAGCGGCCTGCACCCAGACCAATTTGTCAGAACTACGCCCCTTGGCTGACCACCAATAGGGCCTCGGATTGGCCTGTTGCCACGTAGCAATCATGGAACGGCGAAGCCTTCCTTGTATCCGCGCTAGAATGTGCATGAGCGCTATGGGGCGGAGGCCCCCTTCACGCTTGGTGAGGAAAACGACTTTTGTCCAGATCTGAGGCCAGCAACATTCGGCCTCAATGTCTTCAATGAGGTCAATGAGCAGGACAAGCCCAGCATCGGCCAAGGACAAAAGCTGCCTAGGCGTGATCTGGTCGAAGCCGCACCCCGATTTGTTGGGAAAACTCCTGATGCATGCTTTAAGCTCCTGAAGAGAGGGCCTGGGAAAAAGAGGACCCAAATCCCGAGGCCACGAGATGGAGTCCTTCAACACACCAACACGCCACCAATGACCCCACTCTTCTTCAAGGAGCTCCATCTCTTGATGCAAAGTGGCAGGCTGCTTCTTAACAACCCGTCCTTCACTGCAAACGAAAGAGTTGGCATGCCATGGCACAGGCGGCTTTGACACCGCATACAGAGCAGCGCCGCCGTTCAAACTATGCTCCTTGACCCAGGCACGCCAGCCATCCTTCTTCGACTTCTCAGCATTGCGAAAATCAAGGTCGGCAAGCTTCTTAGTAGCAGTCGCTGCAACTGCTGCCAGCTCGTACGAGATACACTTAGAAAGCCCTAACAACTCAAGCCAGGGTCTAGCAACATTCGAATCTATGCCTGCTGTGCCTACTTTGGCCTGGGCCTGGCGGGCGAGACGCAGTGTCGAAGCTCTCAGGGGCGCAGGCTGCCAGCGACTCAGACCCCAGAAGACCCTAGCGAGAAGACGCCACCAGAGGGAGCGAGGGGACAGCCTGGGGTAGGCAAGGTCCTTGGGTAGAGCAGGTTTTTTCCAGGCAAACTGGGGCCCCTCACTGCGGCCGAAGTACTCGGGCGACTCGGCGGACACGATGCCGTAGACGTCCGCCCAGTCCAGCTCTGCGGCCGCGACCCAGCGCTGCCACTTGCCACCCACGGTGGTCTCCATCATGTCCAACTCAGCGTCGATCCAGAGCTGCGCAGGATCGCGCGCGCGACAGCCCATGGGTATGTCGACGGGAAACCTCTTCGGGATGCATGCGACCCTGTAGCCGAAGTCCATCAGCGTGGCCGAGCAGAGCGTGAGCTTGACGGGGATGTGGGGCGTGGTGCCCGCATCGACGATGACCTGCACAGTAGCGCCATACTGCATGGACGCCGACACCGCGAAATAATCCAAGACTTTTCCGCCAGACTCAGACGAGTTAGTGCAAGTTGCAACCGTCGGCGCCAGCACCACACCATCGATGGCCTCTGGCCATCCTGATCCAGTCAAGATATCTGGCGTCATGTTGAAGTCACCACACACAATATACGGCATGTTCGCAACCTTGATCACTGCACCGACCGCTTCCAGTATCTGCCAATTCCTAGGCGAGAGCTGCTCGCTGTCATGCAGGTAAAGCGTGATCCACAAGAAACCACCAGGCACCACTCCTGGAGTATGCAAAGCCACAGCCCTACCACCACAGATAGAAGGAGGGATAAGATCGACTGGGGCGAGACCTTGGGCGACGGGAACCATCTGCAGTATACCACCACTGGTGCCCACGCCGCGCCCCGTAGTGACGGCAGGCTCCATCCTGCCGCGCCAGCCTGTTTTACGTAACTTACTTTCCCAGGAAGCGCAGGTGCCAACTTGATGATGCTCTTGCACCGCAACAAACTGGGCATTCTTGACCGTACTGTGCTGGATCAGCGCCTCGAGGCCGACGAGCCCTGTGACGTTGCTGCTGATCATGTGCCACGCGCTAGGAGCTCGTCGCACCCGAGCCTGCTGCACCAGCGGCTGCCTTGCCCTCGACTGAGTCTCCGTCGTCCACGCGCAGCTTCTTGAGCGCCTGGTTCCTGACGTTATTGAAGATGTCCGCCATGAGCTCGTGCTTGACCCCATGCTTCTCCATGAGCTGGACCATCTCGGGCGTATCACCTGCTTGCGCCTGCTGGAGGTAGTCCAGGAACTCCTGCTGCTGGGCGGCTGCAGCGGCGCGTTCAGCAGCGAAGGCAGCCGCGGCGCTGCTGTCGACCTCCATGGCGGGCTCCTCAGCTGCGCCTGGCTGAGCCTGCGCGGCCTCGGGCCCGCGTCCCCCACCAGGAGCCACAGGCTCAGGCGGCTGAGAGACACCAGCAGGCTCAGCAGCCGTGGGAACCGCCTCGAGCAGCACGGGCACGAGGTTGCTGAGCGCGTCGGCGACCTCGGCGGCCTTGGGATTCCCCTGGACGGCGGTGAGCGAGGCGACCAGCTGCTTGAGCTGCGCGAGCGGGTCGGCAGGCTCAACCACCTGGCCCATGGCGGCGAAGGCAGCAGCAGCCCTGGCTGAAGCAGCCTTAGCAGCTGCCTCAGCTTCCTCCAAATCCTCTTTGCACTTTGCCGCATGAGCCACCGCTTTGAACACAGCATCATTCGCACGATCCAATGCACGCTGGGCTTTGGACTTCTTATCTTCATACAAATCTTGATCCAAACGAGCAGCTTTAGCAGATGCACGAGGCTCTCCATTGAGCAACGCACGCTGCGCCAGCACTCGGTTGAGCTGCTTGGTGGGCCATCCTTCCGCGATATGCTCAAAATCGGACACGCCCATCTTCGCATAGATCTGCACCTGCTCTTCGGACAGGGACAGCTGCTGCCCAGACGGAGGCCCCTTAGCCCACGCGCCCAGATCACGATTGCCACTGCCATTGCCGAAGGATACGTCGGGCTGCCGCCCTGCTGGGCGACCGCATCTGTAGCAGTTCTTGCGCCAGCTGTAGTTGCACTGGTAACCGCACCTCTTGTGGCCACAACACCAACGAGAGAAATCAGGAGCCCCAGCAGGAGCCATGACTGCGCCGTAATGGTGAGGACACAGAGAGCGGTTTCCCGCACAGTACTCGGTGCGTGGTGGTGAGAAAGCAATCGGGGGCCGCAAATCCCCCACGCCACAAACTCAGTCCCTTGAGCAATGCCTCCGGACTTGAGCCAAAATGGCTACGGACCTCCTCCTCCTCCTCCTCCTCCTCCTCCTCCTAGTCGGCGTGTGGCTTGCAGCAAGAGCGGGCGACATGCAGAAACAATATCGTAATTTCCTCTAGCGACACTCCTGGGGTCCAGCTCTTTGCTCATCGGACCTCGGGGGAGCGGGGGGCACACATACACATGATGATGGGGAATGTTCTCGCCGTGCCGCCCACAGAGTTTGCGACCTGCGAGAGCAAGATTTCTCAGAGTAGGAGGCGCCGGTTGCGGATCCGACGCACACATGCCCGACAAGTGCAAGCAGTACGAATAAAACTACTCTCGCATTTGTTTGCAGAAAGTGAAGATTCAGAGGCAGCACAAGCATCCAAGTTCCCAGTTGATATGGCTGGTTCAGTTGTTCCGATTGGCCCCCCTCCTGGTCTTGAACGGCAGCCCGAAGCCCGCGCTGAAATTGCAGAGAATTCTGAAGATTCCCATTTCTCCATGGTCGGTGTGGAGCAGGAGGCAGAGCGGGAGCTGAAGCAAGAAGGAAAGGTTGTTGGCAATCATGATGAGATAGACAACACACAGAAAAGGGATGAGGAAGAGTTGCTCGAAGATGGTTCTCTTGGAAACGCTCCGAATGCAGGCTCAAGGGAGGTGGTTCTAAAGGAGGCTCAAAGGGAGGCGCCGAGCATAGGGCAACTAATCAACGCGATTTGGGACTTGGCTCTTGACCCCCACTGCTTCCCGAAGGAAGGATTGTCGATGCGTGATATCAAATCAAAGCTGGACGTTGCACGCATGGAAACTCAGTTGTTAGAGGCGCTCACAGATTTTGTTTTGCTCGGCGCACTCACACAACATGGAAGCAAATACTGCGTGATTGTTGACAAAAGCGAAGAAGATTCGATTGCAAATGCAAGTGGTCACGTGGCAGACGAAACGAGCAAAAGTACAGCTGGAGACCAATGCGATTCAAGTTATTTCGAAGCGTGGGTAGATTCTTTTTCCCGCAAGGGGTGCATTGAGCAATTCCATAAGATCTTGGACGGCTTCCCCGACGGATTGGATTCTTTAGCTAAAAATAACGCGACTGAGTTTCACAAAAAAACGCGTGGCCTCCGAAAAAGATTGCATTGATACTTCGATAGAAAAAAATAAAGGACGAAGTTTGCCATGCTGCGATTACAAAGGATTTGGCCAGACTACACGCGCCCAAAAAGGATGCCATTCAGTTAACAACGCGGAGTGGACTGGCCCAGACGCAGCAGAAAACAATTGACAACATAATTGAAGATTTATTGGACGCGTTCGAGGTGTTGAATGTTCCTGACCACCATTGCAAAGTGATCGACGGATCTGAATGTATTGGAGACAGCCGAGGAGGGACAGTTGACTGCAAGAGAAAGCCAAACAACTCTTGGGGCTGGAGCTCAATTCAAGAAGTTTCATTGGCTTTGGAGCCATGGGAAGAAATGGGCGTTGTTGAAAGAAGCGGCGACAAGTTTACAATAACACAATAAATTTCAAGGCTGGCGCCTCTGCCGCCATGCGATTTGTGGCTCCTGTGCTGCCGTGGCGCGTTTGGCGCCTTCGGCCTGAGAAAAAAAAACGTTGGCGTCTCGTTCCCGCTCCCGTCCGATCAGAAACGTCATAAGAGCTCGTCTCACGACACGGTTTCTGCGCTCTCTGGTGGCGGGGGGGGGGGGAGATGGGGGAGGGGGGAGGGGCGGCGTCTTCCCCAGCAAGTGTGCCCCTCATAGGGGGCCGAGGTGCGCCATAGGCAGCGCATGTTGCCCGCCTCGGCCCGAAGTCGTTCGAATCCCGATGGTGCAGTAGGAGTTTCTCTCTGCAGACGCGGCTCCAGGCAGCGGAAGCGGCTAAGCCGCAGCCTGGACCCGCTGGCGGAGGTCCGAGGCCGAGCGCCGGACCCCCAGCATCCATATTCTTCGCAGGGGTATTTAAGTGTTCAATTTTCCGTTTGGGATCTGGAACCCGCCCCCTAAGCGCCTTTACCTTTTTGTTACCTCCTCCTCCTCCTCCTCCCCTTCCTCCTCCTCCTCCTCCTCCTCCTCCTCCTCCTCCTCCTCCTCCTCCTCCTCCTCCTCCTCCTCCTCCTCCTCCACCCGCCGCGCGCCGCGGCGCGGCCTGCAGCCCGGGAGAGCCCCCAGGTACAACTCGCCCAGCGCAGCGGGCTCGTGCTGAGCGGGGCGCATCGGCGATGCGCGGCCTTTGGCGGACCCCGGTCGGAGGAGGAGGGAGAGGCGGAGGAGGGCAAGTGGCAACAACTGAAGGAGAGAAAGCCACATAAACATAAACTGTTGGCGTTCCGCGCAGATTTCTGGCATCCGCGCTGGGCCTCCCTGGCGGCGCCTCCGGCAACGCCCCGGGCGCGCTCCGCGCGCAAGGGAGGGACTGTCCAGCGCAGATCCCAGAAATCCGCGCGGAGCGCCAAAAGTTTGTGTTTATATATGTTTGTTTCTTCTTCGAGACAAGGATTAGTCGGGCACGTGGCTCTACAGGAGGAATATTCAAAAATAGTAGAACAACATGGCTGGGGACGATGTTTGCATTATTTTTTGAATCTGGTTGAATTTCTTCTCCTTTTACAGATTTTCGTCCAATATCCCATGTAGGTGGACATGCCCGACCTAAGACAAGGACTGCCCTCCCTGGCGTTGTTCGTCCTGGCTTAGGCCTCCTGCAGGCTCTCCGTCGCCAAGATTGGATCCACCTCGAAGAACGAACCAGGATGGTCCAGATTGGGTCTGGAGGCAGACTTTAAACGAACTGAGGCTGGGCAGTAGAACCGCTAAACTCGTGGGAGGATGTAGGCTGATTACTCCCATGCCCTTGTCCGAGAGTGGGGGCGCATTCGTAAAGACATTTCATCAGCTTGGGAAGCAGCCCACCCACCTGAATGTATTTCGGGTTCGGGGCCGGGCCTGTCTTCCGACGGTGCGTTGTCGTTCACTCTTGATGTTGGAATCGCTCATGAGCTGAATGAGGACAGCCTCACGGTTCCTGCAAATTTGGAAGAGCTTCGGCGAGAAAAACGGGATCGGCTGCGCGGGCATTCGCGCGCAAGTTGTTTGCGTAAGATGGCGCGTACGCCCTCTCTTTTCCAATGTAGCGTGCCACACTGGCGGCCCGCGAACGCAACCACGCAAGATCGCTAGATCGTGTACTACTACTACTACTACTACTACTACTACTACTACTACTACCACGACTACTAGTACTACTACTACTACTACTACTACTACTACTACTACTACTACGACTACTACTACTACTACTTCTTCTTCTACTACCACGAATACTACGAGTACTACTACTACTACTACTAATACTACTACTACGACTACTACTACTACTACCACTACTACTACTACTACTACTACTACTACTACTACTACTACTACTACTACTACTACTACTACTACTACTACGACTAATACGACTACTACTACGACTACTGTTACGACTACTACTACTACTACTACTACTACTACTACTACTACGACTACTACTACTACGACTACGACTACTACTACTACTACTACTACTATTACTACAACTACTACTACTACTACTACTACTACTACTACTACTACTACTACTACTACTACTACTACTACTGGCACTACTACTACTACTACTACTACTACTACTACTACTACTACTGCTGCTGCTGCTGCTGCTGCTACTACTACTACTACTACTACTACGACTACTACTGCTACTGCTACTACGACTGCTGCTGCTAAAGAAAGTCGTTTTTTTTGTCGGTTCAATGTTGTGAACGTGTAATCCTTGTTAGGTTCCTAGATGACGAGCGCACGGTAGATTCCCCGCTCCGTCTGTGTTTTGGGTGGCGATCCAATCTATTTCCTGTAACTACGCTCGCCTCGAGCTTTCTCGAGCCGTTCTTTCTCCTATGGGCTCAAGCTATATGGGCTCAATATATTTGGGCTCAAGCTATCAAAGGGCCCAAGCTATCTAGGCTCAAAGTTTCTGGGCTCAAACTATCTGGGCCCTGGTCCAGCCATGCGAAATGTTGGCATGATATGCGCGCGCGCTCTCTGCGAACGCAGGAGAAACAAGTTGTGCGCACTGCTCAGGCCAAGAAGTGCAAAGGTTGAGGCTTTAAGCATCCAGCTTGTGAGGCAGGCATAGCTATCTGGAAGAGAGGCCTCATCCCCGCTGTTGGCCATGGGGCTGGAGTGTCGAGGATCTCGAACGCTGGCATACGAGAGCTCAGCACCTGTGCTGGAGGTATGGTGCCAAGCCTGAGTCATGCCTGGCCTTCTCTAAAGTTACGCAGCCGGGTGATGG